GTTATATATAAAAAAAGCAAGGTTCTATTGAATCGCTCAATGAAATCATCAGCCCTGGGGTTGTATGGCGTGGTGCTCGTCTTCTCTATCCAAAGGATGCGACACATCTCCGAGAACACCTGCGACTCAAAGCTTCTGCCTTGAATAATGCAACTCTATAGGCATGCCAAATCTACACACGAACTCGTTGACCAGTGTTTCCACCACCCATAGCTGCCCTCTCGTCCGCCACCGGGTAAGCTTCCACCCACTCACTAAAACAATCGCCTGCCACGAAGATATACTTGTTCCCCTTCTCACTCTTTGGAAGAGAGCCGACTATATCGACGGCGATCCGTTCCATCGGTTCAACAAGATGTTGTTTCAGGGGGCTCTATTCCTCCTCGCTGGGGCTTTCACTGGCACATACATGTGGACTGTTGTTCCTGATCACCTCCTCCTCACGGCCGCACTGACTACACGGCCTCCGAGGTAGGCTGTCGTTTTTAGGCTTAAGCTTTAGCCTGCAGCTTTTCGCAGTCTCCCAAACACTGTCTTCAAGCGATTAAGTTCCTCTTCCACTGTGTCAGCAAAGACGATTATATTGTCCAAGTAGACAAAAGTGTCTCCCAATGAAGCCCCACAAAAACTTTCTCCATTAGCCCCTCGAAGGTGGAAGCGGAGTTGCAAAGTCCGAGGGGCATTGCACGCCACGAGTGCAGGCCCCCCTCTCACCACGAAAGGTGATTTCGTCTTAGCATCGTCGTCCAGTTCGACTTGCCCATAGCCTGATGCCAGGTCCAAGGTGGAGAACCTGACAGCGCATCGAGGGAATCGTCAATGCGAAGGATTGGATAAGAGTCTTTTATGGTCACTGTATTTATCCGACGATACTCAACGCAGAACCACTTACTGTCATCCTTTTTATTGACTTAGACCACATTAGAGGCCCAAGGGCGTGCTCCGTGTCACTTTGTAGTATCCTGGCATATTTTTGCCTTCTACCCGTTCTCTATTCCTTTATGATGTGAAAACCTTCGGTAGCCAAGGCTACCCTCACGGCTTCTTCCAACGTTGTAGGCCTTGCCCAGAAGATCCCTTCCCTGATGGCCTCACTTTCGATCGCGTCAACGAAATGTCCCCTAGCTATTCGATCTCGGCCTTCCTCCGGTAGCTCAGGGTAAGCAAGTTCTGACAACTCCTTAATGGATTGTCTGAGCTCCTGTAGGCTTTCCTTGTCACCTTGACGTCGGTACCTCAGCTATATTAAATGGTTTTCAGCCAGTTGACCTGGTCCAAATCTTTTCTCCAGCCGGTCCACAAGTTTGTTGTAGGGTGGCGTACTTCTGCCATCTTTAATAATAGGTTTGACTCTCGCAGACTTTAACACAGGGGATCACTGATAAGTCTTGTAACAGATTTGACCAACTTTGGACTATACCACCTGGACTCATACCACCTATGGACTAAATCCGTGTGCACTCTCCACATCCTAGGTACATAGCCCTGGATCCTGCACGTCTGTTGAATACGAATTAGTTTCGGAGCAGCGGTTACGGCAGCTGCGGAATGTTCAAGTTTTGGTTCATGCCTCGTCCGATCGTGGATTGCCACACGCAGTTGATAGTCTTCAAGACTTCCCATTTCTGAGTGACGTCAGTTGGTTGACGTTCCAATGTGTACTGGGCTTATCATCAATAGGAAACCAATGGAAAGGTCACGGGTCATGTGTGACAAGCGGAGGATGGAAAGTACTATTACTTAATATCTACTTATGTTGTTGGCAGACAGTCTGGTTCCCGCTAATCTAATAGTCATGGAAATGTTTTAGCACTGTATTTACGATCTCAAAAAGAAACAATTATTAAGAAGACAGGCAGAGTGTTCGAAAGAAGAAGTTTGAATGATTCATTGATGTTTGAATGAGGTTTTAAAGCCAATTCAAGACTCAACATACTGGATAATCTACTTTTACATACAACTTGAAACCGTTCGTAACTCTTTCGTGACGTACATGTACCTCGTGTCATATCTTTAAAAAACGGAAAAGTTAATGATTTCCTTTTAAAAAAATTATTTTAAGGTCAACTGAAGCAAAAGTCTAATATTGCCTAAACTTCCCGTGCAAAGTTAGTCAAAAACAGACTTTTGTGTAGCAATTGGGGGGGTTGGTTGGTTGAAGTACCCGTACTGTCGAAAAAAAAGTTTCGTAATTCTAGACGGAAACTACCCCACTGTCAGAAAATCAACAGAAAGTTTCTGAGAAAAGATGAACATCTGAAAAATGAATGTTTTCTGGCTACATTGCAAGGAAAATCTACTTGGATTGTTATTGACTTGTAAAAGCAAGAAAGAAGTGGTTAGGACCCCACGTTAGCCTCACGAGTTGTCATCTTCTCAGATGTTTCCTCACATTGAATACCTATTTATTTTCGGCAAATGATTAAATCAAACAAAATAACAAGAACAGCAGTCACTTGAGCCGAATACAAATCAGATGTGTTGTTGAAACAAAGTTATGAGCCTCAACATTGCGCTTTGGAAATTCAAAATAAAAACTATTCATAAATACTTGTGCAATCTACCAATACTCTTTGATACTAAATTATGGATTCGGTTAACAAACCTAACCTCTTTTTTATTTGTTTAATCGAACATTATGTTTTTGTTTGAGTCGTTCCTGTTTATTCTGTCAGTGTCTTTTCCTGTTAATCCGATTTCCTATTATTGGAAAAATTTCCCACTTTGAAGCGGTACAATGGCTTTTCTAAGATTTGGGTCGAGGAATAAAATGGGGAACTTTTTCTTCTTAAAATATGACCTGAATTTTCCGACCTATAGCGGTGAAAACAGGCTAGCACTTTTA